AAGGGCATCTTTGTATTGAAATATAACGAAAAACAATTTTTCTCAAAATTTATGAAAAAACATGGGCTATAGAACTTGGCTTTTCGTTAAAATATATGAATTTTTTTGAAAAGTGGAAAAAAAGTGGTTTTTTGACGCAAAATTAATAGCAAAATATCGGATAGTGCTCTTTTCGTCGGAAAACTTAAAGTTGAGACATTATTAAAATAACGAAAAATATTATGTCCAGTGAAAAGCGAAAAAAATTCAACTTTCGCTTACCCAAAGAAAAGAGGGTGAAAAAGTGGAGTTTATTTGATAAGATTACGTCATGGACCTTAAGATTTTGGGATTTTCTTTGAATAATCTCACTTTGAAAGCTATTCTTTGTTTACTGAATACAATAAAAAACCCAGTAAAATCGAATCTAGCCGAAATTTTGATAAAAGATTATGAAATAACTTTTGTGAATTTTGATGAAAGGACATCCATTTTGAAACTCTTACATCAAGGGCATCTTTGTATTGAAATATAACGAAAAACAATTTTTCTCAAAATTTACCAAAAAACATGGGCTATAGCCTTGGGTTTCCTTTAAAATAATGAATTTTTTTAAAAAATTGGAAAAAAGTGCTCTTTTGACGTAAAATTAATAGAAAATATCGGATAGTGCTTATTTTGTCAGAAAATTCAAAATTCATACGTTATAGCATTAACGAAAAATGTTATGTCCCGTAAAAACTAAAAATAATTGATTTTTTGCTAAACCAGAGTAAAAAAGAAACCTAAAGGTGGAGTTTATTTTATAAGAAGACGTCATGGCATTTTAGATGTTGGGATTTTGTTTGAATAATCTTAGTTTTAAAGCTCTTCTTTTTTGAAAAATTCGGGAACTATTTTATTTTCATATTATTCGTATATAAAGAACGACATGATGTACGCTTTTCAAGATGGTAATCTTTTTATTACTATACGATCTAAGAAAATAAAGTTAATATACGGGATTACAAAGAGGAATTATATTATAAAATTCTTAAATCTAGAAAGCTATTATGTCTTTTTTGTAAATACGGTCCATTTTATCTTTTTCATTATTTTGGTTAAAATAAATTAGTTTTTTATCTTTGGAAAATATATCATGCTTTTCATTAAAGTTTTAATGTTTAGTTCTTGAATTTCAAAAGAAATAAATAAAAAAAAAATACCAACAGTATAGCCTAGGGAGTTTTGATGAAAAATTAATTTTTTGAAACACAACACAAAGTGTATATTTTAAATCAAAATTGAGTGTGAAATCTCAAAGGAAAATTTGTAAAAAAATTAATTTCATATTATTCGTCAATTCGCCTTGGAGTGGTAGTGTTTCATTATTGTGTTTCCTAAAAGAAATAAATAGAATTTGAGATTGAATTCTGATTTGGAATATGTACTCTTTTGTGTGTTAGAAAAATTAATTTCTCATTAAAACTCCAAAGGTATTTTTGAAAAATTGGTGAAAAATTTTACTTTCATATTAACCATCTTTTAAGAAGGACATTATGTAGGCTTTTCAAAATGGAAGTATTTTCGTCAAAACTTTTAATAATTAAGCTATGAATTGTAGGGAAATTTCCATCTATTTTAGATATTACTGTACGTTTAAGAAAGGGTGTTTAACACACAGGATTAAAAAGATAAATTATAGTATAAAATTTTTAAATCCAGAAAACTATTATGACTTTGTTGCAAATATTATATGTTTTATCTTTGTTACTATTCCGGTTAAAAGAATTTTTTTTTCTTTTACCTTTGAAAAAGATATAATACTTTTCATCAAAGTTTTAATGTTTCGTTCTTGAGTTTTTAAAAAATAAAGAGAATTCGAGATTTCACACTCAAGTTTAATTTCATATATGCACTTTGTGTTGTGTTTCAGAAGAAATCATTTTTCATGAGAACTCCCAAGGTATTTTTGAAAAATTCGTGACAAATTTTATTTTTGTATTATTGGTATATAAAGATGCACGCTTTCCTGAAAACTTCGAACATTAAAGCCATGAATTGTAGGAAAATTTGCAGCTGGTTGGATATTACTATGTATTCCAAGAAATGAAGAAGAAGGTTATTATAAGGGATTAAAAAAGAAGAATTTTAATATAAAATTGTTAAATCTAGAGCGGTATTACGGCTTCTTTGCCAATTTAGTCTAGTTTATCTTTATTTGTTTGTTTTGTTTTTAATTTCATGCAAAGCTAGCCGTCCCTAATTTAGCAGTGGGAAGTGACTAGAGGGAAGGCAGCTAGTCATCACCACCCACCGCCAACTCTTGGGCTACTCTTTTACCAACGAATAGTGGGATTGACCGTCAGGGTCGCGGGTTCGAATCCCAGTCCCACCAAACATGCTCGCCCTTTCAGCCGTGGGGGCGTTATAATGGCAGCCTGCGAGTCGAGCTCCTTAGCCACCTGGCCATGCCGGGCCACGCTGTAGGTATAGACCATTCTTAATGTATTATCGTAGGTCTAATTAGAAAGTGTACTGGTTATTCCGCTGTGTGTCCTTTGTTGTAAAAGTTTTGTGGCTGTAAAAGGAAAGGCTTATTGGTTTGCACATGTAATTTACGGGTAAACTAACTCGACTCACAATCGGAGGGTCGAGGGTTCGAATTTCGTTCCTGAGCATGCTCGTCCTTTCAGCTATGAGGAGGTGATAATGTGATGGTCAGTCCCATTATTCGTTGGTAAAAAGTACTCCAAGAGTTGACGGTGTGTAGCGTTAAATGATTGCCTTCTCTCTAGTCTATCACTTCAAAATTGAGGGACGCTAGCGCAGATAGTTCTCGAGTAGCTTTACGCGAAATAAAAAAAAACAATCACAAATTATGGATGACAAAAACTAGACACATTTGAGTTCACTACCTCTTTTTGGCTAATAGCTTTACTTATCTATGGTATTTTATGCAATATGTACCTTTGATTTTATTTCAAGATTTTAGTGTCTTCTTGTGGTTGAAACATTTCTACTAAGCTCTTGTGCTTAAAATGTATTTTTCTAAACGATAACAACTTCTTGACCACCAAACATCCTTTGTTCGTGTGAACAATTTAAATTCATATTTGTCACTAGATGAGTGAACATAAAAATTTAACACAAATTAGTTAATATATACGTTATTGTGTAATTTACACTATTATGCTTTCAATGACGCTTTTTACAATGCTTGTGTGCGTTAATTTAAACTATTACTAAACCCAAATTGACTGTTTTATTTTATTGAACCTGCAGTTTCAAAATCTGGCTTCTACTTAATTTTATTCCTGGCTAGAGCAATCTGAGCCAATTGACTGTTAATTTTGTGCTAACCTTTTTCAACAATATTTATCAGTGTTTGTCGATGTAAGCGTTGCTTTACATGGGTTTAATTTTAAGATAATTTATCATGGCAGCTCCTCAAGCTCCTGATAAGCATAGACTATTGGCAGTAAACGCTACATCAGTAACTGTACATCTCTCCGTTTGGCGACGTGGTGGATGTCCCTTGTTGTATTTCTCTGTTCAGTACAAGCCATTAGAAAGCACAGAATGGATACTTCTATCCAATAATATCCTACCAGAGCAGACGTCTTTGACCATCCCAGATCTAACGCCAGCTACATGGTATACTTTGTTAATAACTTCGAGCAACGAGGCTGGAAATACAGAAGAAGAGTACGTTTTTGCCACTCTTACTCTATCTGGCGGTAAGTTCTGATTCAACTTCTGTTAAAGAATAATAAACCTGATATAGTACTCTGTGCTCATTTAGTGGAATAAAACAATGAATCAATATTCAACTTTCGAAAAAGAAATGACAAATCCTTGGAAGTCTAAAATAACAATCTCAATACAGTCTTAAAGTATTAATATATAGTGTCCGACATTTCTGCAATTGTGACGCTAATGATTCTACTCTACCACCACTACACGGGGACATACTAGGATCATATGAGTCGCTGAATAGTAATTAAGGCCGATTCAGCTTTCGTTCATTGCATAAACCATAATTTATTTTTACAGCTTGTTGGTACGCCACCTGCAGTGGTGGGTGTGTAAACGTGGTTACCATATTTATCCATCGCTATACTTTTAATCATTTTAAACGATTAGGTTTTATATTTAAATTTCTGACTATGTGTATATTAAAATTAATGTTATTATAATTTATATAGTTTGATCTCGATTTATTGCAAATAAAAACGATCTAGAATAAAATTGTAAGTTATCTCGTTTCAGCAACGGTGTCACCTCATTACTCAGCATCCAGTCACACAAGCGGACTCTATCGCCAATTAAAAATAATAATTCCTGTTGTTTGCACAACCGTGGTGCTTGTGTTAGTAGTCACTGTAGCGTGTGTAATTTTGTTACGTCGACGACAAGTAAATCCGCCCAATTGTACCTACTCAACAGGTAAAAGTTGTTTGATTTTTTTTAAATAAAAGAAAATATATACTAATATAGGAAATATTTTAAAACGATATATTTAATAAACAGATATTTATCAAGTAGTTTTGTGACTTTACTTGTATTTCACTAATGTATTCTGAACACCCTTTTAGCTAATATTCTATATAGTTACGTAGCTCAATTGAGCTACGCCATATATGCAGGTACAAAATGCTGTAAATTATTATGAATATGCAAATAAAAGTACTTTGCGCAAACTTACAGAAGAAAGATATCTAACCACATGTACAGTGAGCCTGTGTTTGTTGAGAATAGCATATACGTCGCTTCATACATTTCTCAGACATAAGCCATATACACTAATCAAAATAAGTAAAAGATAGTCAGAGTTTATTATATTTTATATATGACAAAGCACAAAATGATGTAAATGACGTTTCTAAGTTCATTGTTACGCAAAATAAATGTCAGATGACCAATCACATGATTTAATAAGCAAGTATAAAATGACACTATTATGGATTGGATGTATTGTAGTTAAAAGTTACAGGAATTACACCAGGTTGTCGGCCATAAGAACGAACTCTTATGACCCGGTTTCCTACCGTTTGCATGCTTATATGCAGTTCATGTTATACTCTGAATTGTTAATTTAATTGGAGGGATAAGGTCCATCAGTTGCTTCGAGCTCATATTTCAAATACTTAACGTTTTGTGGGGTTGTCGACAATGAGTTAGCCTGTAGAAGACTCCAGCTAATTGTACCGATTGTAACGAGTTTACGTCTTGTTTATTACAATTTGAACAACGTGTAGCCATTCTGCAATGATTTATTATGTTTGACCAGGTTTTAGCTGACCAATTGCCTTCAACATCATGGAAATGTTCAGTTATCTTTCATAGGGCCCTGGGGCTGTTTCACTACCAATTTGAACAACGTGTAGCCATTCTGCAATGATTTATTATGTTTGACCAGTTTCTAGCTGACCAATTGCCTTCAACATCATGGAAATGTCCAATTATCTTTCATAGGGCCCTGGGGCTGTTTCACTACCAATTTGAACAACGTGTAGCCATTCTGCAATGATTTATTATGTTTGACCAGTTTCTAGCTGACCAATTGCCTTCAACATCATGGAAATGTCCAATTATCTTTCATAGGGCCCTGGGGCTGTTTCACTACCAATTTGCTGTTATTCAAACTCCTAAGTGAGAACTCGATGCGTTTCCTTCACTTTTATATACACCTAAAATGTGGATATTAGTTCACCTGGTACTTGCTTTGCATAGAAAGGAATTCAGGAGTGTTGTTGACATTATTTTGTAACAATATGTGTATCTTATCATAGTAATAGCACATAAAACTGATTATTCCATAATTATGTTGAGCAGTGCATTAGTAGTAGTAGTAGTAGTAGCTTTAATACATCGTGTCTGGTCAAGCATATCTTGCAGACTTGAATAATAAGTATAGAGTTGAATAGATCTCTGAGACTAAACCACTAACGCAGTCATCCAAAGTTCTGTAAGATGCATTCTCACGTAATACTTAATATCATGTAAAACTTGCACAATCATTAATAGCTCCATCTTAAATACATAATCTGTGCAGATAAGAAGACATGTAAAACTAGACATATCTGATATCATATATATATATATATATGGACGACAATTTCCATGGCTTAAACACGTGTTCAGTTACGTACAGCTAATTACATACAGTTTAAAATACGTTACAGATTTTTGGCGTAAGTAACCTGACACTACTGTATAGTTTTGAATATCAAAAGAACGTGTTCTTATCCGGCATTCTGGTTTCGATGCTATACTTTGTTTTGGTACCAGTGATAACAAATCTATAAGTTAGTCCTAAAATATCCATTGAACTTAAATATGTTACATGCAGGTAAATTTAGTCGATATGTTCGTGTATAATAGGTACATTTCTGATACTTACGATTAATAATACATTAGTTTCAACAAAATAATAGCAATACAAATCACTGCCTCTTTTCATCCTTCTTCTTTTTCTTATTTACACTTTAAATGCTGATAACTGGAGGAAAAACATTCGAAAATTTTCCTGTAAGTTTTTGTCAAATGTTAATATTTGATACTGGAAATTAATATCTTGTATATTGTGATTTCGTACACTGAACTTTTTTTTTGCATGTATTTATTAGTGTCTTCTTGTATAAGAAACGGTTTATTTGAATCATAGCCATTAGAGATTCTGATCCAGGGAAAACGGAAACAGGGGAAGCTGTACCTATGACAGTTTGGGATAAGCGCAACCAATCGGATCCTCGCTTACATCACAGCCGTGATCAGCTCTATTTTCCGTCGCCATATGCCACAAGTAGGTTATCTGTTTATTCGGGAGAAGGTGATGTGGAAGGTGGAGGAACTCCGTCCTGGAACTCTCAATCGGACCCTCGTCTGCGGCATAGCCGAGAACAACTGCCTTATCCAAACACATACGCCCCTAGTGGGACTTCTGTGAACTCCGATGATTTACAAACAGATAGGGGTATTAATTTCTCATGGGGTCAATTAACATCTGAAAATGGATTTCACACCTATGATATTCCTATTCGACGTAAACCGGTAAGTTTCACAGTACTTACATTTTCCAATTGTCCTTGTTGTGTTTTCATCTGAAACTTTCACTTTTCTTTATTGTTGAGATGGCAGATTATTAGATTTTCTCATTCAATGATCACAACAAATTGACTACGTATAGAAGCCACAGCATCGTATCATTCTAGAAACAGGCAGGAACAGTTCAAAATTCTATATTTCAAAGTCTCGTCCAAAAAACTGAAGTTAAAAATAGTTTGTCATTAAGTGAAAATCCAGTGAAGATGCACACACACAGATATATATATATATATATATATAAATGAAACAATATAAAATGAATTCAAAAATATTTTTAAAAACTCAATGTAGAACGTGGCTAATGTTGTGTTATGAATAACATAATATTTCATTAATACATTGAAAGTGAAAATAATATTTCATTAATATTACTTTAAAGACAAACTACTCAGAAAATTAAACTCGAATAATTTTATTTCTGAAATGTTTTTATTTTTTAACCTAATGAAAAACCAAAGCTCAAATTAAAGTATACTTTAGGAGCATATCTATTCACTAATCATGGTTATTTAAACAGTTTAACTACAATCTATGGTATTGAGTACCAAAAACTAAAGTGGTCTGAGTTAAGACTTGTCTGGATAAATTGCCTTTAAGAATCTCATTCAAACTACTCAGTAACGAGTATGAGCCTTCCTAGAATTAATATAGTTCTTAAATTATTAGGCAATACTTCTGATCAATTGACCGATGAAGCTATGGGGGATCTTGTTCAATTTCTTAGTCAATGCAATTCTAAACACTGAGATTTTGAGATGGGTTAAACTTTCACTTAAAACACTGATTTGTACATCGCCGGAGGAGTGTTCAAACGTGTTCTGTATGATTTAAGTTGTCCTTTGGCAATCCATGGCATTTAAGGTAGTCAATCGCAATTAATGGCACCGGTTTCTAGCATTGTAAGTCCACAGACATACGGCTGTGCCACTGGAGGGGGGCATGGCGTTAGATGGTCAACTGCATGGCTGAATTATGGAATTCTAGACCATAAGCAGGACTCTTAACGTTCGTTTCTTTCCGTTTAGTCATTGACAATCACTTTATTTGTTTTCTTGGCATCTATATTGATTTCATGGGCAGTACACTAACGAATCCTAACGACCATATTTAGCAAATAGAGGTCATAACGTGGTGTATTTGGCCTTCCTTGACCTTTCTTAGATTTTATAAAGACCAAACAAACCAGACAGTGTGTGTCCACAATCGTTTTTACTACTGACCTAGATTCTCCAAACTGATTGCCAGTTGTCTCTTTATTTACTAAGCTTCAAACGTCTGAGCAGCTCTGACAATCTTTTCTTCCGCCCACCGTCACCAGGTAGCAGTTTGATAGGATTATATCGAAATAATAATCAAAATTGAATCGACAGATAAAATAAGGATAATAAGTAATAATAAATCTAAAGAAATATAATTCGCCGAAACTTCCACACTTTCTGGCAACAGGATACTTAAAACATGCTCATAACTAATGATGTATTGAATTTTAGAATTATTTTCAAATTTAATTTTACAGATGATTTTTCATTGCTTGCCTTGATCTTTTGATTAATTAATACAGTTGCCCGGTTCTTGAAGATGCCCTATTTTCTTTGACACACTTTACACCTGCAAACCGTAAGATTAACTCCATTTTCCTTACCTAGGCTGTATTTTGAAACGTTAATTTGATTATATTCAGTTCCGCTTGAAAATTATATGTGTACCACACACACTGTGCCTAAAAGCTGTTCGATCACGTCTAGCCCAATCAAAATGTGTCTAAGAGTTATAGAGACAACTTTAATTAAATCCATACTGTGCTTTAATAATTTAAGGTAACTTAATTTCACTTAAACCGTGCTTTAAAACGGTAGAGGTAATTAAATTCATTAACACTGCGCCTGAAAAATATAAAGAAATTAATTTTTTTTCCAAATCATGATTAAGCTCGAAGGTTATTTGGATTCCACTTGCATTTTACCTAAAAATTATAAGACAATTCAATCCCAGTTAGACTATGCCAAAAAAGCTGAAGATTAACTGATTCCCCTTTAGACTATGCTTGAACACGTCATCAATTTTGTCAGTGCTTATGATCCATTATGAGTAAGTTCAAAAAAACACTACTACTCACTCGGATGGTTTGTCATAAAATACAACTATTTAAAGATGGGAGTAACTCGTATTTTCATCCTGTACAAAAAACAATATTACTTGGATGTTTTTAAAGAACAGCAACAAAAAAGCTTATTGTGATACAGTTCCTGCTGAGTACTATATTTATCATTCAGAAAAATATAAATTTTATCATACAAAATGTGGTATATATATTCTTTCTTAAGTGAAATATTTTCACATCTACAGTGTGCTATTGTCGCTTCACTACTGTGGCACTTAGGAGTTGAAAATTGGCATTACCTTATGTAAATCATGAGGACATTAAGATGTTACGTAAATCTTTTTACTGTCACTTAATGACATTTTACGGTGTGTATTAAAAGCCATATGAATTTCCTACATTTTTGCTGGTTTATACCTCTTGTAGACTTTCGAAGTTAAGAAAGGTTGACCACATTTGACTCAGAATAAGATTCTTAATGAACATGGATTTGATATTAGGGAAGTTACGTGATATATATTGCACTTACTATTCTTTTCAAGCATTGATTATGATATTGATAAAAAATATTTAAATACATATAGAAACTTCAATACTCACCATTTGAAGATATGTAATTTCGTTCTTATTTTTAGCTGTTTCATTAATAATAATATCTTTTTTTAAATATCACACTAAGAGCAATCACTGTAGTTTATTACACAGTATTAGTAGAAGTGATCCAACAAATCTGTTTATATTTTCTGAATAATAGATTAAAGGTTATGTGCAGAGTCAGGTAAAAATCGCTACAAAATACAAACTTTTTTTTTTATAATTTGAATTCTATTGGGTTTTTTTCTTACAAGTTTGTTACTTTTCTAAAAGAAACTTCTCGTCTTCGGTAATTATCGTTCAGATTTACTACAGTTTACTCGTACAGTTTTAAATAATAAAAATGTGCACATTTATAACAGTTTTCCTAGAACTTTTAATTTGCATTTCCTATTTTAAATTAAAACTCTATATACTCCACAATGTTTACAATTATGACAAAGGCAACTGATATAATTTTGATGATAAAATCAACATATACATTTTCAGGCCCCAAGTTATTAAAATATTTTTATTTTACTACAGGTTTCTCAAAATCAAAGTTTTAAAGAAGAACAAGGCCACTCGAAAGTCAAGAACAAAGGCCAGCATGTATACCTTAATCCTGGTAGATAAAGTAGTTCATCAATAATTAAGTAATAATATGTTACGTCATTGCGAAATAGTAGAGAACTAATTGTAGTCGTTCGCGAAACGTTTATAGAAGGTATGGATTGTGTATTGATATGCCTAAACCAAATTCGTTATTTAATGTGTAGAAATTAAACAAAAAATAAACTGTTTTGGCGATTTATTTCTTTTATAATAATTTTATTTGTATTTCTTGTTTACTTTTTTTTTCAATATATTAATAATGTTTTAGAAAGTGTAAATCAAACAGGAATGCCGATTTGATATTATTAGTATTATGCTAGTTTGAATTGTCATTTATAGTAAAATATAGTCAATAATAATTGTTTTTTATAACTAATTGTACAGTGGGAATCGCATCTCGTTCTTCAAAGGACATTGGGATTGAATTCACCAATGATTTGGCAACTCATGAAAGCTATACGCCTCCTGAAACAGTATCCACTGGTTCTGGAACAGAAAGACATTACGATCAAATCAAACGACCAAAGCACCATCTGTCGAGAAGTCTTCAAAAGAAGTGAATAATTACTTTGTTCGTTTGTATTATATATGCTACTATAATGGCAGTTCACTTATCGTTTACAACTACTGGACTATGCTCGGTCAAAGGGTACATACAGAAGAATCACAAATGGAGTTTAATTATAGAAGCAATTAAAAGTGAAATAATAAAAGATTTAATGACGTAAGAGATCTTATAGTAAAATCTACCTGGTGATTAGAACTAACTATATAGTACATATGAAGAATTACAACAACAACAACAAAAAAGAGTAAAGGAAAAATAGTCGAAATTTTAGACAAAAGAGACTATAAAAGAAATTCATAAAAAATAAGAAAGTAACTAATTGGTCAATTAACCACAGAATAATAAGACAAAAATCTTTAATAAACGTTTTAGATTTATACAAACTCCATCTTCAGCATTTTCGAAATGAGATAGAAAGAGGAATTTCATATTTCTACTTTAATCGTTATTCAAATTTCTTGTAGATATATATTTTACAGAATTGTAAAAGTTTCATTTACTTTCAGAATATTGAAGGTAGAATCTGTATCAGGGTTTGCAGCCGGTACTGGCACTGATTTATATTATATCAGATGTATCCGTTATCACATGTCCTATCTTCGGAGTTTTGACCGAACACCTCTTCTAGTATTCCAGTATCGCATTTTACAGAACTATAAATGTTTGATGTGGTAGTTTTGAGTTCATATTTAAGTCTATAAGCGAATCTCACTGTGAAAATCGGCAATAGCATGAAATATGGGAAACTGGCGACTTCCACGCTCTAGAGAAGAACGTGAATGTGCTTCGATGACTGATTGCAGGTTAGGTAGGTGCGTGCGTGATTAACCCTTAGCATGCGGGCAGGTCAAACTGCGCATGTCACGACGTTTTAGTGAGTTACGTTCAAAAGTTAATTAAATTACTTAATTATCATAATATACAAAGAAACTTGACATCAAATTATAGATAACAAATCAAATTTTAATATCATATAAGTTTTACTCTAGTGTGAGAGTTTGGATAATTGTTCTTGAGAAAACTACGAAATGTAACGTAAAATATTCTCTATAATTTCGTCATCGATGTTCTGAAGCTGTATTTTCATATTATTCAATCTTATGGGGCCAAAGAGCAATCAATTGAAATTCAGAAATCACTTTCCACGCCTGCCTCTGAATATGTTCTAATTTAAGATTTGCAAATAGATTTTTCTGAGACCGACTCTTATCAAATCTACAACCAATAGTAAGCCTAGATTTCAATTGATTCATAGTCGTCATACCACGTGGGGTTACAGATAATTGACAACTGAGAACAAACTGGGAAGAATAGTTAAATTTCTAACTGCCCACGTCACGTGATTAGAGATGCTCGAGTACCGGTACCGGCAACCTGGAACCGCCGGTGCTATTGCAAACCCTGATCTGTATAGTTCCGAAATTTGATTAAACATGTAGTTTAATACCACTAGTAGTGTGTAAACAATCTTTTTGGTGATTTTATAGTGTGTAACGATTATATATTCGTCAACGAAAATGAAGGTAAAATTTTCATTACACACTGTAGATCTGGTAACGTACTTCGTTACAAGAGAGACTAATATTCTTTGGAAATTAACTCGAACATGAAAATCAAATCAAATGAGATTTTTACCATCTGAAAAAAAAAGATCTTCAGAAAGAAAAACCAACGTTGATTAAGTTGAATGGAATAGACATTATCCTTTGGAACACAAACTTTTTTATGGTAGGGAGAGAAATGAATTATGTTGTATCATCTAATTTTGAGCTGTATAAGGGTATTCTTCCTTGAGAGTTTTAGTTTTTCAGTTTGTATGTTAATATCAGTGAATAATTTATTGGTTTCGTTATTTCAGTTGAGGTGTTAATGATACTCGATGATTTTCGTTAGTAAAAGTATGGCAAGTTTTGCTGTAGATGGTTTTCTTTATTGTGGGTTATACCTTGGCATCGAATACTTTGATATTTCTATTTCATTTTCTGTGTAAATAAGAGCTTACAGGACAATATTTTGAGGATACACTAGTATCAATGAAGTTTATTTGTGTGAGGGAGTAGTTTCAAGTGCAAAGTTTGTAGTTTTCCAGAGAACGGTAGGAGGATAAAAATAATCTTCATGACTTGCCATCTGATGCAAAACTAAGCAACGTGTCGTCATTGTAGTTTTTTTTTTTCTAGATGCGCGATTTTTACATAAGTTTTTAGTGCAAGCTGTATTATTTGTATTTTACATATAAAGAAAAACGTAGATGTTATTTTGGTGGCCGTGATGTTGCTGCTCCCATAGTTTTAATCTTACTACAATTTACCTTTACGACAAATTTAACATTCGTTGTAAACATAGTTCTAAGCCCCAGTTGTTGTTTCCTATATTTAGTTCTTAAATCAGTTATTTTTTTTCCTTAAAAATATATTCCCAATTCTTCTCCATTTTGTTTTTAACTAGTTGGTTCAGGAAGAGATAAATATTCGTATGTCTCTTTCTCTTTCCTGTTTTCTCCTTGGGATATACCGAAATCCTTGTTACAATTGCCATGGAATACACCATATTCAAAAACACGATAAAATGCACAGTTTTATATACCGAAATCCTTGTTACAATTGCCATAGAATACACCATATTCAAAAACACGATAAAATGCACAGTTTTATATACCGAAATCCTTGTTACAATTGCCATGGAATACACCATATTCAAAAACACGATAAAATGCACAGTTTTATGCATCCGCTATAACTACCTCTGGAGTCGCCCTCCGGTGGTACAGCGGTATATCTGCGGACTTACAACGCTAGAAATCGGGTTTCGATACACGTGGTGGGCAGAGCACAGATAGCCCATTGTGTAGCTTTGTGCTTAACTTCAAAACAAACATACCTCTGAAGTCGCTGTTCATACGCTCGTACTCTTTTTAATACCTTCTTCCTTCCCATTTGATTATTGATGAAGGAAATGCAGCCTTCTACATAATTCCATAGTAATAATAAATAATACAACCTCCACCACCACCCATAAATCCAAATTTGAATACTTATAAAATTCAAAATAAAACAAATAAAACTAAACTATCCAACCTATACTATTCATAGCCAAGTGTTTATTACTTGTCTTTCGTCTAGTCGAACCAAGTTCAACCTCTTATAGACATAAGATATAAATAATAAAATCTTCAAATAAGATATATGTTTTTTTTCATTGTTACTTTATGGTATTAATTATTCGCCCAAGTTTACAGGGGGCCGGGTGTAGCCTAATGGATAATATGCCAAACTATGGATTAGAGACTTTATGGTTCGCTTTCTGTTGCCGCAAAAAACAACAACAAAAAACATCGTGCTACACACTTAGGAACCGTGGGTGCGTTACAAGAGCGACAATAAAATCCTGTATTTTATTGGAGTAGCCCAAGAGTTGGCGGCGAGTGTCACTGGGGACGGCTTTTGTAGCTTTGCGCAAATATCCGATAAAAAAAATCAAAGTTGTGTAATAACGCGTATCAGGTACGCATGAGCATAAAAATACCTCAATCGGATTAAAAGAAAAGTTCAAATACACTTTAAAAATTTGAAAAATAGACGCGGAACGACTCATGCATAGTAATAGCGCAATTTCTTTATTACAGGAAACATTTTGTTACGTATGCTTTGCTCTGAAGAAGATGAAAACGTTCTTTTTTAACTGTAGAATCACACTGATTTTGAACGTGTACAATAACTCGTCATCTCTTGTGAGATGAAATACTCATTCTTTATCGGAGACACCTGGTGGTAAAGTAATGACAAATATAGTTAGAAACATTTAAATACTTCATCATGAAGATTTCTATCTTTTATAGGATAAAATTTTATGGAGTCTGAATAGAGTTTTGAAAACACAAAGTGTAATCTGTGGTCAAATATGTTTTTCTCTTTCTTCAAGTGACTCATCACTGAAGTATGAAAAAAAAAACACATTACTGTGTTTTTCACTTGTATGAACAATTAAAAGGCTCTTGTTGAAAAGTTTGTCAAATGTTCTATGAATATTATAGTTGGTGAAGGCTATAGAATTTTACTTTTTTTTTGGAATACTTGTCTGAGGTTAAAATGTTCTTGTGAGAAAAAAAGATGAGATGCTGGCATGATAAAAGTTCTGTAAGTTAACATTTGAATTGACTTGCAATTTAGGGGGAGAAAACTTTAACAATTAGTATACAATCTATTATATGTCTTATAAAAACCAGTATGTTGAACGAAGAATTTTGTTCTGTAATACATTTTTATAATACTAGATGTACTTGTGCAGGATCCCCGAAGGTGTTCTGTTTCAGAGAGTAGATAAAACCAAAATTAAAAGTAATAAATATTTTTTTTTTTACTTTTGAAGTTAATATGTCGCGCTGTGTTGTAGCCTACATAGTGCATAATTGTTCTCGTGATTCATGGCATGCGCACGTTTTACTGACGTCATTTTAACGTCTACTGACTGACTGACGGACAACACACTACTTTATAGTGGTGTGAGTGGTTAAAACAGGTGAACCTTCCAGGCGGTCTTCGGTCCCCTTTCCGAGAAATAAGAGAAAGATAAGAGTTAATTTTTTTGGATACCTAAAAACAAGAAATATGCCATCATGTATCCAGTGTTATACAAAGGTTTAAAGTTAGATGGAGAATTAGACAGCTCGTGCTTTCCATTATATATATATATATATATATATATCATAAGAATTTGCTTTCGAGGATTAACATTTCATATTCAATAATAAGATCTACGAGCAGACAGACAGCATTGCTGTAGGTTTTAATCTAGATTCTAGACTGCTTAGCTTATTCTTGTGTGACTAATTTGGGATAATATTGAATAATTCATAATGTTTTGTTTCTAAGTGGCATTTTTTAAAATCCTATTTCATATTGTGTTTATGCACAGATTCTCTGATGGCAGAACTGGTGAAAATGGTCAACGGAAGATAGATACTGGAGAAGAACGATGCGATTTTTCTGATGCTGAATGTGATAGGTATTGGTCTAGAGTATATCTTGGGCAGGAGTCGTGATCGTCAAATTAAGACTTTGTGATGATGAAAAAAAATATATAAATTGTTGATCCAATGTCCATGTTAGACAGAGATTGTGAACGTAGAATTGTGGTCTAAAATATAATTATTTTATTTTATCTCTTAGTTTGCTAAGTTATATATTTTTTGTGATACTTGTTTAATATATTTCTTAGAATTACAAATTTTTGTTAAATCGATGGCCATCAAAACATTTTCAGGTTATAACTGTAATTGCAACTTTAGGAACACCTCTTTTTTAGTTGCTTTTCACAAACGAATATTTTTGATGTTTTACCATTTTATTTTGTATTATTTAATGTTTCAAAGAAATTTGCTTAAAACATTCTTAGAAGTGTAAAAAGGGTAAGTAGTAATTTATTGGAGGCTTAATTAATGTTTCTTTGTACTTCTAAAACTATGTGCTCATTTCATGTAGGACATTATTCTCGGTAATCAGAATTGTTTGGGACACACAAAAAAACAGACATTTTTAGCAAACGTAGCATTAGTAGGACTCAAAATTTTATCAATTACAAGATGCACATTTCTTTAGGAACGTAGAACGTAAGGTAACGAAACAAAATAAAATTTCTTTTTTATGTAAGATTATTCAGTTCTTGGTGAATTATCTCCTGTTAATGAAATTTATAAAAATACTTTAAATTTTTTTTCAAAAGATTACGAACCAAATGACAATTTTTAATGCCATAATATGAAATATTAATTTGAAGAATATAATAGTTTATAAATACTAATAAAATATTATTTAATTTAGGTTACGGAAGTAATGAATTATGAAATGGTGTTACACATTTAGTAGTACATATATAGGCTTGCTTTTTTTTTTGCTTTTTCATAAAATGCATGCTCTTTAATACTGTCATTTAGGAAGCTTAATATAGGATATTGTCATGATCGTAAGTTTGTTTTACATCACGCTGCACAGTGAGCTATTTGTTGTGTATCTGCTACGGAGATCGAACTCTGAATTCTAATGCCATAAGCCATCAAGCTTACCATTGAGCCACCAGGTGGTCACGATTGTAGGAAGTATTATATAATTGTCCTAATAGTTCATGTTTTTCTAGTTACATTGTATTGTGCGGGTTGAAAAATATAACGAGTTTAAGAAAGATAGCTTTGGGAAAAATGGGGTACGGCGGCCATCTTAACATTGGATACTGTATTCCACCAATTAAGTTACCAAAACAGAAGATATGTTAAAATGAGCCCTGGTTTATTTTAAATGTCGTATATAGTTAAAACAAAGTTTGCACATATATATCATTTTTAGATATTGAAAAATACATCTCTTGTGTTTGGAGAACCGTTCTAACTTATAAGGTTGGATAAAACGGACCTCTAAGATGATTTTGGGCAGAAGAGCATGGGTAGAAGTGTGAGGTAGAAACGCCCCACAAAGGGCTGTTTTACTTTCAACTACTAATCGTAAAACAATCGCAAGTTGTAAAAAATCAATGAACTCGAACTGTGTTTCTTTTAGCATATCTACCTGTCCATAATTCCCCATTGTTTAAAATCGACACATTCCTTAAAACAACTACTTTGTAACCATAAAAACTTCGAAGTGCTTACCTTAGCTCAAAGTTTTCAAAAACAAAGAACTGACGTCACACTTTGACTATTCATATCCGTTCTCATCCTCCAGTGTGTTTGTAAACGGGGTCAGCTAAAAAACAGTTACATATAGTTTTCTATAGAGGTAACATGTTATAATTCATGATATACAGGGGGTGGCTGTTTTACTGAAAATGAAAGTCTTGCCTCAATTTCCCTTACTACTGATTTGTATTGTTTTATTTAAAGAGTAAAAAGGTATTATCTAATCCTAAGAAATAGAATAAAAAATAAACGCCACTTTTACAATTTTTCTTTTTATTTAAGCGTTTATATTTATAATTACGTAAGACAAATAACTTGCAAGCAAAACGTGGTAATTATCTGATCAGAAACTGTGTTCTTTTAGCAGTGAGATATTTAAATTTCTTTATTATATTCTAAAATTATTTTCTCAGAAACATCTGATCAGTTTATAGACAATTTTCCTTGTGTACAATTTGAAAAGGTTAATGTTTTAAATGTGAAAAAAACTTAAGTTAAATATTCTATTGCGATCAACACTTTGTAAATATTTTATGCTAAGAATTTATCGAAACGTTTTTCTTTACATGGAACATCTTACCTTTTAATATTTCAATTTTTCAAAATATACAAAATGGATATTATTCAAGCTCAAATGACCCTAAACACTTATTACAATATGTTTATATATTTTTTCCCACAATAAAATCTGAATGAAATAATAAAAATCTGAAAAAATTCTTATTTCCAAGGAAATGGTAAATTAAATTAAGATTATAACTACCGTAAACGATTACCCCCAAAACAAAAACGAAATAGGAACCATTTCGTAATTTTTTAACAGACATCAAATAATATTATTTGTTCTAATAAAACAAAATCTGAAAATGATTTGTTTTCAAGATTTTATTTTACTTTTAGCTTGAATGTGAGAATGTAGAAAAAAACACGTTGTTAAGCTAGTCATTTGAAACAATACGGATTTAAGAAAACTGTAAATTTCTGATAGGGATGTTATCATCCTTTTTTTTTTCAAAAAAAAAATCCCAGTTTTATATATTCATCTATTTAGCAAATATAATAACAAAATAGTTTTCATTGTTGCACTAGAGATTATCAGATTCTGTTTTCAATGGAATAAAGATAACTGAAAATAACGAAGCTTTTGTTTTTGGAATTTAAATATATTTAACAAATAAATATATTATCATGATTGTTCATTGAAAAAATAGTGTATATTTCGTTCAGTTAAGAATTTTAGTGAATGTGTCCTATTTAATTATATTGATTGAAAACAATCAAGGATTTTATGCGTATTTTTCTACAGATACTAGCTTACAGTGAAATATTTGGAAATTATTGGTTCCTGTATAATTTTTCACCAACTGCAAGAAGAAATCGGAATGAACTTGTGTATGTGTGCAAATGCGTGAAATAAACCAACATCAATAGAATTTCCTTCAGAGGGTATTACTTGTCTCTTTTAAAGTATGATCTCAGACACTTAAATATCGTGTTATTTATGCTTTTGATGTACATTTGATGCCAATAAAGCCATTATTTTTATAACATGTCTTACTGAAATTATTATTTTATTTATATTATTGAATTTAATATTTAACTGAAATAAGCTTCCATGCATATTTGACGATTAGATAGCTAAAATGAATTTCTTTAGTAGGTAAGGTTACATCTCGTTTAGATTGTTCTTTCGTTGTTTGTTTGTTTGTTATGGATTTCGCGCAAAGCTACACGAGGGCTATCTGCTCTAGCCGTCCCTAATTTAGCAGTGTAAGACTAGAGGAAAGGCAGTTAGTCATCACCACCCACCGCCAACTCTTGGGTTACTCTTTTACCAACGAATAGTGGGATTGACCGGAACATTTTAACGCCCCCATCGCTGAAAGGGCGAGCATGTTCGGTGTGACGGGGATTCGAACCCGCGACCCACAGATTGCCAGTCGAGTGCCCTAACCAACTGGCCATGTAGGGCCTTCTTTTGTTGTTAAGCACAAAACTACACTATAGGCTATCTATGCTCTGCCCACTGCGGGTATCGAAATACGGTTTTCAGTCTTATAAGTCCCCAGACATATCGCTGAACTACGATAGGCTTTAGTGACAGAAAAAAAATATAGTAAACATAAAAGTTGATTAAGCTAATGTTATTATGATTTCTTTCATATTTAGCAGTTTTTTTATTTTGTTCGTTTTGAATTAAGAAAACTAACTTTTATTAAAGGACTATTCTCAAAACTTTATCATAAATATTTTTGGTGATGAATATTGTTAATTAATTTCTCACAATTCTATGGGGCTTTCACACTGAGAACACTTTTAATATAAGTTTATGATATTTTCTCATTTACCCCCAACAAAACTTTGTTTATTTATCTTCTAATGTGCAGGTTTAGTTCGACACAGGGATCTTATATTCTGATACTTTCAATGTTCATCAATTGTGAGTTCATAGTTATTTTGTATTCTACCCCAGAAGGAACTATGAAGTATTTTAATGCACATAATTTGCAACATTGTTAAAAAAGATGACGCAGAAGACAAAGAAGAGAAGAACATCTTTACGTGATATTTTACAGAGATTGTGTGTAAACAAAGGCTAGAAAACTTCATGACAAAGTCACTTTTACTTAAAGAAGAAAAGAAAAATCGACGCGAAGTAAAGGTTTATTTATTACGCATTTGAAATTATATATTTCTCATTGGCGGACATATCTTAGCATTAATTTTTATTTGTTTCTGAGCTAAGATATTTCCTATTGGGAGATTGTTAGCACGGAAACCGCTCAGCAAAAATGGTAATTGAGTTATTTCTGACTCCATGTAGTAGACCTAAGTTTTATTTCGTAAAGTATCTAAAGTCTACAATAAACGTTAAAGAAGAGAACTTCTTCCGAAAAATTTAGCAATGTAAGGTATGACCCTATTATATTATATACATCTACAAAATAAATATGGTGAATGGAACACTCACGCATGACTTATAAGTTAATACTAAATAAATAATAAGAATGTTTTATGAGTTATTAACCGCGGTCTCGAGTAGCTTATGATTACGTTCAGTATAAGTCGTACTGGTCGTGAAGTGCTCATGCTCACAAAGGCTAAGAGCATAAAAGTAACTTTTATGTTTATGATCAGTCATTCGACTTTGTTCTAAGCAAGCAATAATCATTCCAAACTTTAGAACATGGAAAAAAAAATGATATGCGAAATAGAAGAATAAAAACAAATTTCTATTTAGGATGAAGTTGGAAGTACAAACACTTCCATTTAAAATGATATTTTTGGCTAAGTTAATTCTTTTAATGAAAATGAAGCCAATAAAGAAGTTTCCAATGATGACGCTTGTTTAAGTGATAATGATTTCTATGACACAACTTTCACGAATATGATCAAACTCGGAATACGAAGCGTAATGTAAGCGATAATAGAGCTCGTGCAGAAGAAATTTCCCTGCTTTATCTATACTTACAGGTCCTAGCTGATGGTACTTGAAGAGAAACAAACTCAAAACTAGAAGCTGATATTTAAGATCCCGGTCAGCCAGAAACCCACCCTTGGGCTGCCGTGCGCACTCTTTTAAAAAATATCAAGATAAACGGGGAAGTGCGCAACAGGTGCGTTATGGACTAAAAAGGGGAGATCAACTTTCAGAATTTAAAAATCCTTTCTCGTCGCGGAGAAAAAAGTGAAAACGATCGACTACCCCCCGACTTCCCAGAAAATCAAAGAAAAGATTCGGAATGCTTTGATTTTAGCAAATATTAAAGTTATTTTAGTTCCAATGATGTTATTAATCAATTTCAATGTATAATTAGTGAGAATAAACATGTTTCTAGGTTTCTTCTAGTACATCTTCAATCTCAATGTCCAAATCTTGTAACAAAACACTCTCTTCAGCCACACATTTCCATAAGGTTTTCGATCTTTTAAACTACTCCACGTCTACTCTGGGGGATAACATGGCAATGTTTTGCTGTATATATAGCAGGAGGATCACAATGTAAACACATTTCACAACTTTTTCAGCTTCATTTCTTTTTATATTTGTGTTCTTGACATGATCCTGACCTTCTAGTAACTTCGGTTATACTTGCGCCGCGCAAAAATAGAAAACTTATTTAGAAACAGATGAATCTTTTACATACAGTAGTGTTATTTGGTTTTTATGGTATTTTTCCGCGCAAAAAATGATTCCGAAATTTTAATTTTTTTGCGCCGAAAAAAAAACTGTAATTTTAGGTGGGTTTCTGACTGGCCGGGACTAGTAAGGGAAAGTCAGTAATCTAAGCTAAGTCGTTGATATTAGAAAAAATACCAAATATAAAAAAACATAAAAAAATGTTTACAAATATTAAAGTTTCATCCCCAACTGATATATATTTCTTTCACAAATTCAACATAGGAACTAAAGAAAATTAATTGATAAAGATGAATATATTGAGCTGGAGCTATTTAAGTAATTGTGTTGAAAAGAGGAAACATTTGCATAATTAATTATTTAATTTGCCTAAAGATGATTAACTATTAAGTGACATAGAAAATAATAATATACAAATACTCATGAGTAACTTATTTAAAAACATAAAAAATGCAGCAGAAATTTGCGTTAAATATGTGTGGTTCTAAATGTTCCTGTTGTTGTCGTAAACCTAGTAAACTTTAAGTCCTGTGGTCTCTAATGAAAATGAAAGCCTGGTTAACCACATTGTGTGTTCAGTTAGGTGATCACTATTGACCAAGAGTTAAATTGACATTCAACAAAATAAAAGAAGGATGTCTATATCAAAGAACGGTGTCTTTTCGTGACTGTATGACATTATACTAAATTCATCCGACATTATAGAAGGATCTTTTGTGACTTATTATTATTAAAACCAAACGAAGCAGCAAGATCTTTCCGATGAATTATATGTCTGTATCGTGCCTGAATATATCAAGAATTGTTCTAGAACCAGATGACGTAATCCTTATTAGTTATATTCTGCAATATAGACAACAACAACAACAAAAACAAACAAAGATTATTTATGATAAGATATTAATTAAACTATTAAGATATAATCCTTAAATCTAGATTTAAGAAATTATCTTGTCATGGTAAGCTATTATTTAAATATGAATACTTGGATATAAGGTACCCTGGATATTTGACGCGCTAGAGGACATCTCAAATGGAGGAACGCCATCTTGGGTCAGAGGTCAGGTCAAAGTAAATATTATCTATTTTAACAAGGTTACTACTTAAGTGGGAAAAATTAAAGCAAACCAACAAACATAATGATGTCATGTTGTTTTATAGGAAATTTTGAAATGATTTTGAACAAGACTGCTACGGAATTTTCTGAATAAATATTGTATTTATAAAATCATACTATGTTTTTCTAACTAACAAATTATGATATTATTTAGCAGTAACGTACCGAAGAAGTTTGTTATATTCGGCAAAAAAAAGAAAAAGTGAGGTTTTCTATTTTCTTTAGCACAATAAGGAAGCACACATGATTAACTAACAATCCGTAACTGACCATTTAAATTAGTGATTTATCTGTATGGTAATTTTTAGTTTTAAAGATGGCATGTGTCATTTACCAACATAAAAATATGGGAGTGAATCCAGATTTTTAGAAAGTTCTAAAGTAACGACTGATTTACTGAGTGCTCCGATTAATGTTGAGCTAATGTTGTAGGAAATGATATTAACTTAACAATCAACAATCGTTCGGACTTAAGTGCAGCTTGAACTTGGAGTTCAAATGCTCTTTTGTGTTTAATTGTATAACTTTATTGATTTGCATTTATTTGTATTAATTAATATAACACGTGTTAGTTTTGAAGTGGGTACAACCAGAGTGTTTGTTTAAAAAGAACACAATGGTTTTCTCTTATTCGATTATTAGTTAACATGAACATAAAAATTAATAACACCACATAATAGAGTCTATATTGATTACTTCGACAAGGGACAGAAAAAGTAAGTCGTTAGTTGGTAGGGGATAATAGGGTTCATTAATTTTCTCAGAAGTATCAAGATAATTATAAGCCAATGTTTAAAGTGATTTTCAGACACTTATCTTGAACATACTAATATATACCGTTGTAAGCACTAATACACGTGTATAAATGTAAGTATTAGTCCATTATCCAAAATAAGGTAAAATATTACTTTTCCTCGTTGCTCCCACCATCAACGATTCTTATAATCGTCCACCTACTTAAGTAACAGAGATAATTTTGTACAATGTAATTTGTCAAAATCAGTAGAAAATCCGTAAGATTTTTTATTACATTTGACTTAACTTATTTTGACATCTAAGTCATCTGAGTGCTTTGAAAAGTGATCGTGAAATTGTTTAATGTTTCGATACTTTTTTTGCATATATATACTCCGAATCTGGAGTGATTATGACTTAATTTGTAACAAAAATATGTAACAAATGTAAGTAAATGAATTTAGTTAAACATCAACTTATCTATAAGGAAGTCCCTTGGTGGATCACTGGAAAGTTTGTGGACTAACAAAGCTAG